TAAATGATTTGAGTGACAATGTAAAAGTAGCCTCCAAGAAAGTCTCAAGAGGAACACTGAACAAAAGAATTATTTTCACTGGTAAAACTCTGCAGGTGAACATGTGCACAGATCTTGGGGACATATCTAAGGGTATTAGCTGTACAGAAAATGTCTCACCACAACACTACACTGCATGTTATTGTTGGATCAGGATTCCCATCTTAAACCTTGGGAGGAGACTAGGAGGCATTAGTTATGAGATTTTACTGCTGTGACCAAGCATTTAACTGTAAGCCTACCAGTCACATGATAATTTAACGGAAAGAATCGCGGATGCTGTAAATCAGAAACAAAAACAAAAGTTGCTGGAAAAGCTCAGCAGGTCTGGCAGCATCTGTGAAGTTTTGTTGACCTGAAACGTGAACTTTGATTTTTCTTCACCGATGTTGCCAGACATGATAATTTGACCTTTTTAATAAGTCAACAGAAGTTTTGCCAGAGCAGCCGTTTTCATAAACTCAAAAAGCCTAAAAAAAACCACTTGGGAGGGGCAAAATTTGGCAATTCTAAAGAGAATACTTGGTAAATTGCGAAACGTCTTTGGCAGAATGCATAATTGCAGATACATAAATTCAACATTATTTATTGCATCAATGGAAAGAAAGGAAAATTTAAAACTAGTAGAATTGTTGTGTCTTTTTTGACTTTTTAAAATCTGTAATTATCTTTTAAATGAGCGAATTGTGTGAAATATTAAGAATAGCTTCTCAGCTATTGGTTCTTATGTTTTAAGAGTTTCTAAAGCTCATTCAGAATTTAATAAGAATTAATAGTTGCAGGTAATTTACTTTTTTTAATTCATTCATATTCGGAGGCTAGCATTTGTTTCCTGTCTGTAGTTGTCCTTGACAAGGTAGTGGTGAGCTGTCTCTTGAACTGCTGCAGATTGACCCACGATGGTCAATTCTCCCCTTGGGGAGTGAATCCCAGGATCTTGGCCCCGCGACAGTGACGGAACAGTGATATATTTCTGAGTCAGGATGGTGAGTGGCTTAGTGCAGAAGATGGTGGTGTTCCAATGTATCTGCTGCTATTAAATTTCTAGATGGAAGTAGTCATGAGTTTGGAAGATGCTGTTTGAGTTTCTTTGGTGTATTTCTGCAGTGCATCTTGTGTACGCTACTGATATTGAGTGTCAGTGGTGGTGAGAAGGGATACATGTAGACATAGTGCCAACTAAGTAGCTGCTGTGTCCTGGATCAAGCTTTTTAAGTGTTATTGGAGCTGACCCCATCCAGACAAGTGGAGAGTATTCCATCACACTCCTGACTTGTGCCTTGTATATGATGGGCAGGCTCTGGGGATTCAGGAAGTGAGTTACTGGCTACAGTATTCCTAGCCTCTGACCTGCTGTTGTAGCCACTGTGTTTACATGGCAGTCCACGTGAGTTTCTGGTCAATAGTAACTGCAACAATGATGTTAGTGGGGATTCAGTAATTTATAGTACCATAGAATATCAAATGGCAATGTTTAGATTGTCCCTTTTTATGAGAGATAGTCATTGCCTTGACATTTGTGTGGTGCGAATATTACTTGCCACTAAGGTTTTGGAGTAGATCTGTAGCTCGGGTTGTGGGTGTTGAGGTTGGTTGGCTTGCCGAGCTGGTTTGTTGTTCTGCAGACGTTTTGTTACCGTGCTGAGTAACATCCTCAGTGCAGCCTCTGATGAAGCATCGGTGTGTTTTCCCACCTGGTTTTTAAACTCTGGGGTCCGTCGCGAAAGGTTTCCTCCGTAGTGGAATGTACACGGGGTCGAGTTCAATGTGTTTATTAATTGCCTGCTACGTGGAGTGCCATGCTTCCAGGAATTCTCGTGCTTGTCTCTACCTAGCCTGTCCCAGGATCTTGGTGTTGTCCAAGTCGAAGTCGTGGTTCTCCTTGTCCATGTGGATTGAGATGAGTGGGACAACACCAAGATCCTGGGACAGGCTAGGCAGAGACAAGCACGAGAATTCCTGGAAGCATGGCACTCCACGTAGCAGGCTATTAATAAACACATTGAACTCAACCCCGTATACACTCCATTACGGAGGAAACCCGGAAGTGAGGCAATCCATCGCAACGGACCCCCAGAGTTTAAAAGCCAGGCGGGAAAACACACCGACGCTTCATCAGAGGCTGCACATGTTGAGATGTTACCAAACACGGTAACGAAACGTCTGCGGAACAACAAACCAGCTCGGTGAGCCAACCAACCACAACATTAATTGCCACTTGTTAGGCCCAAGCCTGGCTATTGTCCTGATCTTGTTGCATTTGAACATGGTCTGCTTCAGTATCTGAGGAGTGGCAAATGGTGCTGAACATTGTGCAATCATCAGCCAACATCCCCATTTCTGACCTTTTATGGAGGGAAGGTGACTGAGCAGTTGAAGATGGTTGGGCCTAAGACACTACTCTGAGGAACTCCTGCGGAGAAATTCTGCAGCCGAGATGACCTGACCTCCAACAACCACGACCATCTTCCTATGTGCCAGATATGACCCCAGCCAGTCAAGAGTTTGCCCTAATACCCATTGATCCCAGTGTTGCTAGGTATCCTTGGTGCTGTATTCAGTTGAATGCAGCCTTAATGTCAAGGGCTGTCACTCTCACCTCACCTCTGGAATTCAGCTCTTTTGTCCATGTTTGAACCAAGGCTGTAATGAGGTCAGGAGCTGAGTGGCCTTTGCGGGACCCAAACTGGGCATCACTGAGCAGATGCTGCTTGATAGCACTGTCACTGACACCTTCCATCACTTTACTGTTGCTGGAGAGTAGACTGATGGGGTGATAAATGGCCGGGTTGGATTTGTCCTGCTTTTTATGTACAAGACAAGTGTAGGCAATTTTCCATCTTGTTGGATAGATGCCAGTGTTGGAACTGTACTGGACGACTTAGCTGGGGAGTGACAAGTTCTGGAGCACAAGTCTTCAGTACTATTGCTAAAATGTTGAAAGGGCCATAGCCTTTGCAGTATCCAGTGCCTCTAACGTTTATTGATATCATGTGGAATGAATCAAATTGGCTGAAGACTGGTATCTGTATTGCTGGGACCACTGGAGGAGGCCGAGATGGATCATCCACTCGGTATTTCTAGCTGAAGATTTCTGCGAATGCTTCTGCCTTGTATTTTACACTGATGTGCTGGGCTCTTCCATCCTTGAGGATGGGATATTTGTGGAGCCTTTGCCTCCAGTGAGATATTGAATTATCAACCATCATTCATGACTGGATGTGGCAGGACTTCAGAGGTTGGATCTGGGATCGCTTCGCTTTGTGTATCACTTGCTGTTTGGCATGCAAGTAGACCTGAATGGTAGCTTCACCAGGTTGACACCTCATTTTTAGGTATACCTGGTGCTGCTCCTGTATTCGCCATTGAACCAGGGTTGATCCCCTGGCTTGACGGTAATGGTTGAGTGGGGGATATACCGGGCCAAGAGGTTACAGATTGTGCTGGAGTACAATTCTGCTGCTGTTTGATGGCACACAGCACCTCATGGATGCCCGGTCTTGAGTTGCTAGTTCTGTTTGAAGTCTGTTGCATTTAGCACAGCGGCAGTGCTGCACAACATGATGGAGTGTATTTTCAATGTAAAAGTGGGATATTGTCTCCACAAGGACTGTGCAGTGGTCACTCTTAACGATACTATCATGGGCAGTGCATGTGCAGCTGGAAGATTGGCGAGGGATGAGATCAAGTATGTTTTTACCCTCTTGGTTCCCTCGCTCTACCTGCTGCTGACCCAGTCTAGCATCTGTGTCCTTTAGGACCCGGCCAGTTTGTTCTGTATTGCTGCTGCTGAGCCACTCTCGGTGGTGGACAACCTCATTGCTGTGGGTCTGGAGTCACATGTATTCCGGACCAACTGAGCATGGTGGGTTTCCTTCTCTGAAGGAAGGACATTAGTGAGCCAGGTGGGGTTTTTCTGACAATCGACAGTGTTTTCACAGTCATCAATAGATTCTTAATTCCAGATGGTGGAATTTCAATTCAATAAAACTATCTGCCATGATGAAAGGATTCGATCCCAGAACATTAGCTGAGTTCCTGGACTATAGTCTAGCAATAATATCACTAGGCTGTTGTCTTCCCATTGAGTACCTGAACCAAAGGCATTATTTATAAATATGGTGTAGCTAAACCACTCGGATAAATTTGGAGCATTCTGTTCTCCAATAAAATCATTTCAACCCATAAAATGCAAAATAGTGATTGGTATTTTACCCCTACAATAAAAATGCTGCTCTTATTTTCTTGACTCATTAAAGACTTTCTTTTTGGTACGTATGATCTAACTGGAAAAATTGTTGTTAAACAACTTCATATCACTGATCCCTATTGTAACACTAACCATTAAAATCTTGAGGCATCACCTTGCCTTTTGATAAGTTTGTTCAAAATGTTAGTTGTTCAACTTGCAGATGTGCCTAAATCTGTGTGCCATGGGATGGGTGAGGATAAGGAGATTAAGGATTTGTGGTGAATCAGCCACAAGCAGATTCAATGCCTATACCAGGTGGATGTCAATAGCGGCTGTGCTGAAGTAGATTCCTGGCAGTTAATACTGATTCCTTTCAGGAAATACTGTTTGTACACCAAGGTAATGGTTACCCTGCCTCACTGAAGGTGGGGCTGTAATTATTTTGGAAATGAAGTGGGCTTTTTATTTCCAGCCTTATCTTTTGTGCGATACATCTGTTGTGTGTCTCAACCTCCAAATGTTATGCATGAACAGGAACGAGGAGTAGTCTTTGCCAAAGTTTTGCTTTAAAAGGGCAACATTTTGATGATTGTTGAGAAACAGTGGAATGCAGCTAACCCGCTCTGTGTGAAAAATTATTCCTTTGTTCTAGAACTTGATCAATTGGCACACAAAACACTTGGCACTCTGCAGTTAGCAGATTGTTATGAGCAGTTGTGAACAGTATCTCTTCATTAAAGCATTAATTTCTAATTGTATGTTGTCACAGGGAACCTATCAGCTGGAAGACAGTGGAACAATTCCCAAGAAGTCTGAATCACAAAGTGACTATCTGGTGTCTGTGCATTCTTCGTATAGTGCCGATAACATGGAGTCTATGAAAAAGAAGATCGCCATTCAGGATGAAATGTTAAAGAAACTAATCACTCTGGAGATTAAATTGACCGAATTAGAGAAGATTTTGATCTCCAAATATGGGAATAAAACACCTGTTTCAAGTTAAACATTCTATCCAATTGATGCTACAAAATGCCACATAATGCCACATAATTGTAGTCATGCTAACCTGTACAGAAGGGGAATAAAGTAGCAACAAAAGCAAGAACTGAAAATTAGGTGTCAGCAAAGTTCTTATTCCGTGGTGATTGAACTTTTTTTTCATATTTTAGTGAAACTTTTTGTATATAAAGAAATGTACTAACAATGAAATAATCCGTGTTATGAATCCACCTGCTGTTATTGCTGGACAAGACAGATCCTTTGCAGAAATCTGGCTTAATCGGTTGCATTTTTTTTGACACTTTTGTTTTAACCAGGTTGTCTCTCACAGAAGCATGCCTGTTTTGCTGCAGCCTTGGTTTTATCAATAAAACAAAAGTTCACCACATAAGAAATGAAGATTAAAAGAAAATAAACCAAACTAACACCTGTTTAAAGATTTCAAAACACAAGTTAAAATTTATTTGCATCATTCCTAACAATCTTTGAGTACTCAAATACCAGAGAGAATTTTTTTTCCCCTGTATGACAGTGTTTGACTTCTTTCTAGCTTGAGCTCCTGATTTGGAGAACCTGATGGTACCTTTCTTGAGTGTAACCTTCATAGTTTTCTAGTTTAGATATTCTCAGCTTTAAATGACCTCTTCAGGGTTTTAACCAAACACTACAGCTGTGTAACTTCTAAAATTGAACTCTACGCTGAGGTAATCTATTTCGTTATTGCTCTGAACAGCTTGCCTTTTAGAGCACTCGTTCACGCATCCAGCTTCAAGTAAGATTCAGCAAAAACAACTTTAAAACAAGCTATAGGTGTTTCCTGTAAGCTTGAAACATCCCCATAATTTTCAACACCTTCTACTTGAAACCTAATGCACTACACAGAACAAGCAGTACTTGTAACACTCTCCCAATTTAAGCACATTCCTATTAACGTTCAGGAACCGTCCTGTACTGATGTTTTTCTTTAAATCTCCATAGCTACTGAAAAACTAGTAAATGTTATTAAAATCTATATAAATCACACACCTTACATGACAAGCTATAACCAAAGTAATAGGAAGTGTGGTCTAGCACTTCTATGTTAAATGACATATATTTGGAACTCACGTGGCAGTTGAGACTCGGGAATTCTTGAAGCATTGTAAACTATCAATACTGATTGAAAAGTGTTCAATCACCGTCTATAACCTCGAGGCCTACAAATCCTCTATTGCTGCCATCAAGCCAGGTGATCAACCGTGCTTCAATGAAGAAAGCAGAATAAGATGTATGGTAGGAACTTGTGTGAAGACTGTGCCATTTTGGTGAAGCTACAGTACGGGATTACATACATGGTAAGAAATAGAGGCAGCATGGGATTTACGGAGTTACATCAAACAACTAGCCATCAGATTACAGCATTTGACATTGTTTGCATTGAGGTGCTGGTGACCCCCATCGTTCAGGATGTGGAGATGCCACCACTGGTTACTTATTTCATTGTCCACTGCCATTCATGACTGATGAGACTGTTAAGTGCTGCTGATCTGTTGGTTGTGGGATCATTTAGCTCAGTCTAACACGTGCTGTATCTCTTGTTTGGTACGAAGTAGACTTGTAACTTCAAGTTTTCACTTCATTTTAGGATGGGTCTAGTGTTACTTCTGGTAGATTAAATCAGGGCAGGACTCGTACACTTAATGGTAAGGTCCTGGGGACTGTTGCTGAACAAAGAGACCTTGGACTGCAGGTTCATAGCCCCTTGAAAGTGGTGTTGCAGTTAAATAGAATAGTGAAGAAGGTTTTTGGTACTGTTGGTAAGTGCATTGAGTATAGGAGTTGGTAGGTTACATTGCAGCTGTGCAGGACATTGGTTAGGCTACTTTTGGAATACTGCATTCAGTCTGGTCTCCCTGCTATAGGAAAGATGTTGTTGAAAGAGTTCAGAACAGATTTACGAGGCTGTTGCCATAGTTTGGAGGGTTTGAGTTATTAGGAGAGGCTGAATAAGCTAGGGCTATTTTCCCTGGAGGGTCGGAGGCTGAGGAGTGACCTTAGAGTTTTCAAAAATCATGAGGGGATGTGGATAGGATGAATAGTCAAGGTCTTTTCCCAGGGGTGGGAGGGAGTCCAAAACTAGAGGGCATAGGTTTAAGATGAGAGGGGAAAGATTTAAAAGGGACCTAAGTGGCAACTTTTTCATGCAGAAGGTGGTGTGTGTACTGAATGAACTGCCAGAGGAAGTGGTGGAGGCTGGCACAATTACACCATTTAAAAGGCATCTGGGTGGGTACATGAATGGGAAGGTTTAGAGGGTATGGGCCAAATGTTGGCAAATGGGACTAGATTAATTTAGGATGTCTGGTCCGAAATGCAGAGCCCTCTTCTGAATCTCTGAGATATTGCCACTCACAGAAAAATCTGGCCTGGACTTTCAATTCTGAATTGTATGGGGCCTTTTAGGGGCTGAAAGTGACAACATCAAATTACAACAATGTGTGTCATGTCTTTCATAAAAATTACAGTTATAAAACATCACAAGGCACTTTGCACAAACATTATTTTATTAAAAATGATGCCATAAAGAGAGATTGGGTCAGATAACAACAGCTTGGACAAATGGGATAGATTTTATGGAATATCTTATGTCAGAGCTGTTCACATGGAGGGAAATGATTCCAGAGCCTTGGACCAAGGCATCATAAAGCAGGGTTAACAAATGTCAAACACTCAAGTTACTTTTTTTTCACATTTGCAGACTGTAATGAAGGGTGTGACTCAGGGCTCAGTGCTAGAATCTCAGCGGATTAGAGTTTATACAAATGGCATAGGAAAGGACTGAAGATATGGTTGTCAATTTTGCTGTTGGCACAAAGATGGATAGGAAAGTACGTTATGAGGAGGATATGAAGAGGTTGCAAAAATATTTATAAATCTGTTCAGTTGAGTGGACAAAGATGTAGCAACTGGAGTGTGATGTGAGAAAATGTGGTTCTGTTTTCCAATTATCTGTTTTGGAAGGAAGAATAAAAAAAAAGCATATTACCTAATAGTAAAATATTGCAGGTCTCTGATTTGCAGAGAAGCTGGATGTCCTAGTGCATGAATCACAAAAAGGTTGATATGCAGGTGCATTAAGGAAATAGGAAACACAACAGGCTGTTATAGTTTATTGCAAGGAAAATTGGAAACAAAATTGAGGAAGTTATACAGTTCATTAGTGAGACCAGATCTGGGGTAATGTGTACAGTATTAGTCACCTTATTTAAGAGAGGCTGCAAATGTATTAGAAACAATTAGAGAATGTTTACTATTACCTTGGAAATGTCAGGTTGTCTATGGAAGAATCAAGACTTAGGGTCCACTATTTAAAACAGAGGGGTCACCCTGAGTGTCACGAAAAGATTGTGGAAGTCAAGTCCTTGAGTATTTTTAAGGCAGATGTGGTTCAATTATTGGTAAGCAAGGAGGTAAAATGGTTGCTGGTTGCTGAGGGCTGAGGGCTGAGGGCTGAGGGCTGAGGGCGGGGGGTGGGGGAGACAGGAATGTGAATTGATGTTACAACCAGATCAGCTGTGATTTTATGAAATTGCAGAGCAGACTCAAGGGACTTGAATAGACACTTCTGCTCCTTGTTTGTCATTGTAGGTACACAAGAGGTCAGATTTAGAGGAACGCAGATAGTTTGAATGGTTAAAGGGCTGGAAGAACTTACAGCAACAAGGCAGGGGTGAAATCATGGAAGGATTTGAAAATGATGATGAGAATTTTTAAATTAAGATGTTGTTTGATCCAGAGCCATTGTTGGTCAGTGAGGATAAGTGGGTGGGTGAGTGGGACTTATTGCAATTTAAGGTATGGTCAGCAGAGTTTTAGAGAGCCTCAAGTTTACGGAGTGAAGCAGGAATTAAAATAACTTAGCTTTTCAAGGGCTTTTCTTCAGACTGCATGCAGTTCACTTTTTGGTTTTCAGGAACCCTTCTCTAGTCCCACTTATTCCTGTATTTTGTGATGTAGTCGCCTATTAGCATTACAGTCTGTATCTGTGTTGACATAATGAGGAATTTGACCTCTTACAAAAGCTCAGTTATAAAAATTCACCAATATCCTTAATCATCATCACCCTGCGATTAAGTTTAAAGTCACAAGACACAAGAAAAGCATTAATTTCCTAGATAACATCAGACTTAAGTTGGCACAAAACCACAAGCATAAGTTAGCAATAAACCTTTTAAGATGACACACTTTTACATGCAATAAACCATAACCCTCAGTGCATATTATGCAAATTGGTGAGATCACAATTAATATTTGCAAAGATGGAAAATTTTTACCAAGATTTTGCTACAAATATTTTACTGCATCTCCAATCTCTATCACAAATTTACATTTGACAATTGATCCAGGATTAATTTTGGTTTAGTAAGATTGCTGTCTGTAAGATTGCTAATTTCCACCACATTTTGTGTCAGTGTTTTAGAGTGCTTGGATTGCCAAGGTGAGCAAACTCTGAGAAAGATGGGACATTTAGCCATTTCCGTCTGTCATCAGTTGTTAGATATTTATTGATTTATATCTCAATTCTATTTACCTGCTTTTGCTGCAAATACTGACATTTCCACCTGAAATAATTGATCAATGCCACAGAGTCATACAGCATGGACGTAGACCCTTCAGTCCACTTTCCCAAACTAAACTAGTCCCATTTGCCTGGAACAAAAACAGAAGTTGTTGGAAAAGCTCAGCAGGTCTGGCAGCATCTGTGAAGAAAAAATCAGTGTTAACATTTCGGGTCCGGTAACCCTTCCTCAGAACTAACCATTTGCCTGTGCTTGGCCCATATCCCTTCAAACCTTTCCTATTCGTGAACTTATCCAAACATTTTGTAAACATTGTACCTTCATCCACAACTTCGTCAGGAAGTTCCTTCCTCACATGAACCACTCTCTGTGTGAAAAAGTTGTCTCTCATGTCCTTTTCAAAACTTTCTCCTCTCACGTTAAAAATATGTCCACTAGTTTTGAACTCCCACATCCTAGGGAAAAGACATTTGTCATTCATATAATCTATGCCCCTCATGACTTCTATGCTCCAGTGCAAAATGTCCGTCTTTTCAGTCTATTTTTATATCTCA